GTCCTCGCTTATAGTCGTCCATGTTGTTTGGTACTATGTCGCTGAACTTTAGACCAAAATTTTGTTTAACGTCCCGGTAATCCAATACTACGTCTTTTGCGAGGCCGTCACGGACTACTTTCTACAGTGCATCACCCGCTCTTGTGTGGCAGACTACGCTCTCTCGGCTCAGCTGCCCTCACTTGCGGAAAATCACAGCGTCCCCAAGCAACGCCAAGCCAGTCTCTGTTACGACTTCACATCATTCATGTGTGCATAAGTGTTTTTGTTCTAAAACTGTACTCTAAACATTCGAAATGGCTTCCAAGCACCCATCAAGTGCTACTGATGCTAGAATAGGAATAGTGATGAGGCAACGTAACCATTACCCATGCTCTGAAAATGGATGTACTGTATTAACCCAATTTGAAAAAGGGGAACGTGCTGTGGACATAACCGCTGTGCTTGGTTTAACCCCACAACAGTGCGTACTATCCAGACCAACGCTGACAAGATTAAGGTTAGTGCTAGAAGTGGTTCTTCTCTGAGTGCTACTAAGACCCCTCGTACTAGAAGCACTGTGATAGAGAAGGTGGAAAAAATGCCGGCAATGTGGATGGAGGTCCAGAATCAACGTAATGCCCATGTGAGCCTTTTGGTTATCCAACATAAGGCCAGATCCTTGTTTGACGACTTAAAGGCAGAAGAGGGTGAAGGATCGAAGGAAGAGACCTTTATGGCCAGCCGAGGATGGTTTTAATGATTTAAGCGTCATTATAACTTCCACAACATAAAGATGACTGCTGAAGCTGCCAGTTCAGATATGGTTGCTGCCGAGACATTCCCGCCAGAATTCAAACGGATTATCCAGCAAGTTGGCTATTCACTGAAGCAAGTCTTCAATGTGGATGAGACTGGTCTCTTTTGGAAGAGGATGCCTGAGAGGACCTATATCTTCAAGGAGGAGAAAAGAGGGCCAGGTTTTAAAGCGGTAAAAGACACTTGACGCTGCTGCTTGGTGCGAACACTGCCGACGACTTCAAGCTGAAGCCTATGCTGATTTCTCACTCTGCCAACCCACTGGCCCTGAAAGGTTACTCTAAGGATCACCTTCCTGTCATTTACAAGGCAAACAAAAAGGCATGGATAACCGGCGCCATATTTAGCCAGTGGTTAACGTGTACGCCGTCCCAGCAATGAAGGAATACTGTGCCAAGGAGAACCTTATAACTTTAAAATTCTTCTGATCCTTGACAATGCTCCAGCTCATCCTCCAAATCTTGACAACTTGCATCACAGTGTAAAAGTTGTATTCCTGCCTCCCAACACGACAGCACTGATGCAACCTATGGACCAAGGAGTCATCGCCGCATTCAAGGCGTATTATTTACACCATACCATGGCCCAGCTGCTCAAGGCTACAGACAGAAAATAAACCAACGATCTGAGAGTCCACCGCTGGTTGCTCCTCCTCCGTTGTTGTTTGCTCCTCCTCGGCTGCCGGCTGTTGTGAAGAAGCTCCTGCCATCCATCGACAAAAAATATGAATCCAGTGTTGACTGCTTGGTGCTACTCTTCGTCTCCTTATAGATCTCGGTGTAACAACCAAGACTGTCCTCAATGCTGCTTTGAACCTTATGAGCTACGTTCTATCGATGTTCTACTGTTCAGTACAGTACTGTATATGAATTTTTATAGGAACTGAATAGTAAATGATACATATTTACAAGAATGTAAGACTGAAATTAATATGATCCCTTCACCTAAAATATTAACACACTCAGACCCTGCCTCAGGGTCTGGAGTATAGTACAACATGCCCTTAAAAAAATTTCACGGAGTTTAGGTTCTCAAAATGCCCGCGAATCGCCAAAATCCGTGAATAACATTTGCTGACCGGGAGGGGAGGGGGGGATTTTTACATTCTTACACGTGTACAAGGTAATGTATACAGTCACTCCTCGACTTTCGACATATTCAACTTACGACAACCCGGACATACGACGGCCATGGTTGTATAAAATATTTTTCACATTACGTATTTTTGAGTCCCGACGTTAGTTATCGAGCTGTGTACTGACAAAATTTTCATTTGTAATTCCCTTTAAAATGGCTGGCAAGTGTAAAAGTGAGAGTTCTCGCAGTGCTGAGAAGAAAAAGAGACACCCATTTTAGAATTTCTATGTATTATTTTCGCCTTTTCGACTTACAACCTGGTCGTTGGGACGGAACCCCGTCATAAGTCAAGGAGTGACTGTATTCCCTTTATGTGTTTGCCCATAGGACAATTATTTCTTTTACCTGTATTGTATATACAGTGGTCCCTCAATTAACGATCACAATTGGTTCCACAGAGTCGTTTGTTAACCGAAAATTTTGTTAACTGAATCTATTATTTCAATGGGATATTAGGTAATTGGTTCCAACCCACAGAAAAAGTACATACAAAGTAAAGGCAAAAAATGCAAAATCAGAAACACTCCTAAAAATCCCCTAAATCGACCTTAAATCAGTAAGTATGTATGTATATATATATGTTTCAGCTGCACATCTCTCAGTGAGCACTCAGTCTGTACCTCAACCCCTGAGGATGTGAATTCACACAAAGCGCTTGGGAACTCGTGGTTTTCTCTTCCTTGTGGTTATCAGCATATACCCAGATCACGCCAAGACCACAGTGATTTCATTTTGCATATATATATATATATATATATATATATATATATATATATATATATATATATATATATATATATATATATATATATATATATATATATATACTGTATATATATATATATATATATATATATATATATATATATATATATATATATATATATATATATATATATATATATATATATATATACTGTATATATATATATATACTGTATATATATATATACCGTATATATATATATATATATATATATATATATATATATATATATATATATATATATATATATAACTCTTAAATCACTACTGTAATGTGATGCAGGTGATTAATTTTTATCTCTTGTGCAGAATATATGACGTTTATATTCAAATTATTTGCTGTCTTGCAAGGATTCCAGCAATGCAAATTATATTCTCCTAACTTTAGTCTGAGATATTATATAAGATAAAAACTGTAAGCCTAAAACCCTGGCTGGGGGAGGAGGAGGGAGGGGTGGTGAGGTAATATGTTTGACAGTTGGCAATGAAGGTCTAATGTGTGTTTATTTATCTGTCCTTAAGAGTGACTAAGCTTTTTTCTTATAAAATGCCACTGAAATGACCGGGGAGAATATAATTTACATTGCTGGGATTATTGTAAGATAGTGATTACTTGTCATTTGAATATAAACAAGCTATAGTTTGCATTAGACAAAAATCTTAGTAATCATTTTGTACATTATTTTGAGTACATGTACAGTACAGCTGTGCCCTTAGGACAGTGTGTGCAGGTAAATGAGTAAAAATAAATGAATGAAGTTACATATATCGAGCCAAAAATATTACTTGAAAAACTTTATGTAGACAGAGCTTGGATGGCTAAAATTTAGAATGATCAATAATTTTAATATAAAAATGAAAAAATATTCAAGAACACAACTTTCTTGATATTTACTCCACTGGAAACGAATGTAAACACAGAACCGATTACTGTATTGGCGGACTAGCCTATCAGCTAATCAGCTGATGCACACAACAAAGCGTGTTTCTCCTAAGGCTTTCGTTAATCGAAGTTTTGTTCACTAATGGAACTGAAAATCCTTATGGGAACCAATTTGTTAACCGAAATTTCGTTAATTGAACCGTTCGTTAATCAAGGGACCACTGTATATGTTTGTGTGTGTGTGTGTGTGTGTGTGTGTGTGTACACACACACAAAACATACAAATAATTAATAATGGGAAAATCCTCTCACAAATAATCAGAAAAAATTATTAAAAATGTTGAGTCTACCCTCAAGACCACACTGTACTTTATTAATAACAAAGCATGGAGTAGACTTGAGGGTAGACTCAAAATTTTAATAAATTTTGTTCTGATTATTTGTGAGAGAATTTTCCCATTATTATTTATTTGCATATGTTTTGCGTGTGTGTCTATACACACACACATACAATACAGGTAAAGGATATTACTGTCTGTAGAACGAATGGCTCCCTGTCCTGGCCGCGTAAATGTCGGCAACTTTCAAACTACCCTTAGACATTCTTGGGTATATCCAGGGTGTCATCCACGAATAATAGAGGACCGCGAAATAAAAATCTGAAAATTATCCGGGCGTACTTTAAGTAAATTAGTGGGATACTTCTCACACATGCTCTGTATTGCTCGCTATTCTGTCCTGGGTTCAATCCCTAGCACAGGACAAATGTGAGAAGTATTTTATCCAAATATGACCCTACCAAACATTGCAGGTTTTCTCTGGGCACAGACTATGCCATGTGTACTCCCCTAGATAATTCCTACAGTGAAGGGCCTATACATACCCAGGAATTGCCAACAATGTATAAATGACTGTCCAAACGGCTAGTAAAATAACAAGTAGCAAAGAGTAGATCTATATACAGTACCTCTGGTGGCTTTGCTAATGGGACTCTCCATATATCAAATGGTATTTTAAAGTTTGCATACCCATGATACAGTATATACTGTATTTTCATATACTACTGTACAGTATGCAGAAATACTACAGTACTCTTGGTTACAAATGGAGTGCACAGAGAAATCATTAAACAGCCACATGAAAACACAGACATATAGTGCCTGTACTATGGTATAAACTACTTACCTATGATAGTTTACTACTGTACTGTATTACTCAATGGAAATAAAAATATATAAACAAATGGAGTTTTATAGATTTTATTGAATGTCTACAAGCCAAAAGAGAAAAAATGGTTTTCCAGACAACAACCAAAAAAGCTATAACCAAAGTAAAAACAAATACATGACACAATAGCACAATACTGAAGCATTAGCTAGACACTGAAACACTAGTCAAAACTGGGTGTGTCATTTACCATACTGTGAGTATCAGGTGTGCGAAGAATATTCCCTGTGAATGGAAGTAAAATTATCAGCAATAATAAAACATACACTTGAGTACCTATCTGCTAATGAAATGGTGGTAATTATCAGTTACTATACATTGTATAATGGTAACAATAAAAATTTTTACTGTAAAGTCCACTCCACATCATTAAGTTGATTAACAATAATTAATTAGTGAGATTTATAATGACATGAAATGGAGGAACTCTTGAGCTCATAGCTGCCCTCTGTACTGGCGTGACAATTCCAAACATTTATACTGTCGCTATATTAATTGTGATATTATACAGTACCACACAATATTTACAATTTTCCTATTAAATCCTTTCAGAACTTATTCCTCACACAAAGCTCTACAAGTAATAAAGTGATACCAGGTATATACTCAACATAACTGAATGCATTATCTATTTTGTTATGGGAAGTTTATGAAAATTATATGAATTCAGTCCACACCTCACAGGCTCCCAGATATAAAACATGGCAAGCATTAGCAATAGTCTTAATGACTTTGAAATAAGCATTAGCTTTTAACTGATTCAATAAATGATTCATACCTAACTGATCATCACTCATTTGTACAGTATACAATATATAGAATAAGTCAAACTTAACCAACAAATTTAGAGTTGAATCACAAAGTCCCATTTTATGATTAAGAGGAAAAATGGCTGGTGATTAATGCAGGTTCTTAGATTCATGTGACAAACTGTGGTAGAAGTGCTGCTTAAAACCTCAAACAGCTATTTGGCCACACCGTACCTGAATATTACAATTCAAGTGTCATGAGGGTCATGTCATGTTGCGTCTCTGTAATGAATCATGTTGACATTTGGGCCTTCAATGTTGAGTGACAGAAATTGGACAGTGCATTCATAAGATAATCAAGATCGTCTTCGTGTAGTGAATGTGTAAACTGATGTAGCATTTTTGCTGTTATTTGCATTTAAAGAATTAAATATTCTTTGTCCTTGACCAGAGCTAGGCTGTGTGGGTACAACAGTAAAATCATTGTCAAATCCCAAGATTTATACAGAAAATTTAAATTACCGGTAGGCACAACCATGGCTGTGATCAACTTTCTATAGGACAATCAGAGTATAGTACAGGTAAACCTTGAGATACGATGGGGTTAGGTTCCTGAAAAACCCATCGCTAGGTGAATTATTGTAAATAGGGAGCATTATAATATGGGGTTCAATGGGATATGTTCCCAGCCAGTCCCCAAATACACATGTATCACTGACAAAAAAATTCCTACAATACTACTATCAGTACAAAACAACTAAACAACACTCACCACATACTGAAGAATAAGTCTGGCCATCATCACATGTCCCCTTCGAGGCTAATGGGACTCTTGCAGGTGGAGTGGGAATGTCACTCTGACTCCCACACAGCCTCTGGGGAGTCTCATGCTGCTTAACAATGTCAAGCTTAACCTCACAGACACAATTGTCTTGGATGCCTTGGCCTTCCCAGACATTTTCAAAGTTACTCTGCTCATTTCCCAGTCACAAAAATATACCAAAAGCACGTGTCACAAAAACAGAGCGAACAATGATAACAAAAACAATGATAGCAGCCGACACTGCTCACATTTTCTAAACAACCTTAGTCACAAAAACAGAGAAAATAACACTTTACAGTCACCATAACACAGTTCAATCTAATTGTTAGTGCTGTCCTCTCACTATATAAAAAAACACCGATGATAAGTACAATGTACGATGCTGGCCGATAATCATGGAGCCATGCAATGGCGGGTTTACGATCAACAAAGAACCAAACACAAGGCTGTAGTGCGCGGGTTGGCCGTGTGGCGGCGCGTGGTTAGACTTATAAGTGAAGGTAGAGATGTGTCATGCATAGGATACAACATTGTTTCCTTTTAAAACGTCACTGACTTGATGTAGAAAAATATAATTTGCATTGCTGGAATCCTTGCAAGACAGCGATTAATTTGGGCATACAGTATACAAACTACAGTTTACACTAAAGATAAAAAAAAAAAAATCCAACCAATGGATATCGATGGATATCAATGGCTATTCGATGAATATCATTAAAGCGGTTATTTTGATCATACGGTAAAAAGCGAGATGGTCTTAATTTATGACCGTCTTTAAAGCGGAATATAGCTTCTAGGGATATCATATCTCAAGGTTTACCTGTATTGCGCCTTCAGCTAGGACAGTTCATAGTGAAAACAGTGGCTGCTGTGGAAACTTAAAAATAATTGAAGTAGAAAAAAAATGGGAGGAAGCAGCAGGCTTGAGTGCCTGGAAGTAATAGAGAAACAATATTGGTGTTATAAAGAAAGGGTTGTCAATGTCAAGAAATGTAAGAGGATGCACCTGGGTCGTACCAACAGTAAGGAGGTGTACCACATGTGTCAATGGGACGAAGAAACAGCATTAATAGAGATCAAATATGAAAAGGTACTGGATGTGTATATTAACAATGAACTGAAGTCCTCAGGCCAATATGAGAAGGTGAATCAAGAAACTAAGCTAGTAGACCTTATAAGGTCGTTCAGATATCTAGATGGTCCATCCCTCAGAACGCTCTTCACGAGTGAGGTGCTTCCCCATTTGGAGTATACTACTGTCACCCTGCTGGTCCCCAAGATATGCTTGAGACTGTCAGTTAATTAAAAATGTCAAAAGGAGGGCCACCAGACTGGTGCCAGTGATATGGCACATCAGTTATCGGGAGAGATTAGAGCGCCTGCAATTGTCTAACTTATACTACAAACGGGCAAGGGGGGACCTAATTGAGGTGGCTAAACATCTCAAAGGGCACTACTCAGCTGAGTGCCCATACCTGGAAGTGGCGGATGCCCACCCCACAAGGAGTCACAGCTCAAGGTTGAAAAAGTCCAGAAACCTGTGAGGACTAACTTTTCCAAGTGAGAATTGTGAACGCTTGGAAACAACCTGCCAGACAGTGTTGTGACGGCACCGAGTGTGAGCTCTTTCAAGACCATAGTTGACCAACACTGGAGCAGGTTCAGATACATCCTGGAGCAAGTGCATGTCCAATACTTGCCAACAGTGTGTAACAGAGATATGACCGATCACTCAAGCAGCTCATGAGCCAATCAGTGGCGAAGAGGATAAAAGTATAAGTAAAAAAGTAAGAGAGTAAAGGTAAATGTGGAGGAAACCACTCGTGCCAGAAGGACTTATGGAACTGCAAAAATTATCGGGAAATGTTATTTGGATGATACCGAGCAATAAAATTGAATTGACAACATTGTAGTATTTTATATATATATTTTCTTGTTGGTCTATCCTTTGATCATAAATTACTGTACTTGTTATTGGGCAGGGCATGAAAAAAGGAGGAAATAACAGGGTAAAAACACTATGAACACTGATCATATGACAGTACAGTAACTTCACGTCTCTATATCCTTTGTAAGCGAAGAAATAAATAATTTACCGTAATTACGGTGCTGTCGAATCTCCCACGGCGACCATGTTTTAGTTCACATCATCTGCTAGGCAGCAGGGTTCGCAGTCTTTGTTTATATGTCAAGAAACCAACGACTATCTTATTGGGCTTGTTTTTTAAGTTTTATACCGAATTGAAATCGTTCATTTTTTCTAGAATCTTTTGGGGGATGATAGGGTGTTGGTGGTACAGTAGTAACTTGTGTAACTCACACCAATATGTCCAGGGTTCGAGACTCGGTCCAGACACATGTGAGAAGGGTGTTATCCCGTGTGACCCTACCAAACATCACAGGTTACCTGGTCCACGGTTTCCTCCTGTACTAACACTGGATAGAGCGCCCAAATGGCTAGTAGTAAGCTGATAAGTGACAAAAATTATATATATAGATATCTTGCTTTTATTGGTACGAGATATCCAAATAAGTACTTCCTGTTTAATGTGATGGGGCTAGGAAGTTAGGCAACGTTGGGTAGGTTTCTTTGGTTGGTTAGGTCAGGTTCTTTTTTTTTTTTTTTTCTGGGAATAGCCCACCCGGGCACAGGTCATCGACCCACAATGGGGCCCGGGGGGCGAAAAAATACAAGCAAAAAGTGAAATATTGCAAGAGTATGGTTAATATACTGTATTTAGTAGTTGCCAACACCTAATTATATATTGAGTCTTATATTATAGGGATATAGAGGAAAGAAACTCGAAAAAATTTATTCTATAGCACTTCCATAGGAAATTTATGTATTTTTTAGTTATTTTCATTTTTATATGGCAGCTACTATATTTACCCCAACAATATTAGTTGTTCAATGTGGGTGGGACATTGAAGTACAGTAGAGGGAAAATCTGGGGTAAAATACTTAAAAAGAACACCAAACAAACCCTTGAAAGCCGTACCCAACGTTTCCTAACTTGTAAAAATGTTAAGAACCACTTTTGAGTTTAGGGATCCCTCACCTGAACACCGAAATCAATACCAAGATACTATAAACCGAAAACATGAATAAGGTAAACATTTTATAGTTATAAGAGTTTTACATGTTGGGGAAGGTTAGGTTAGGTTAGGTTTTCAAAAGTTTGTTTGGTGTGGTTTTTAGTATTTTGTCTCACATTTTCCCTCTACTTAAAAGCCTGTCCACTTTGAACAACCAATATTGTTGGGGTAAAAATTTAGTAGCAGTGATATAAAAATGAAAATAACTCAAAAGCTATAAATTTCCAACAGAAACATTAAAGAAAAAGAAGACTATTGATTTATATAACTATCAAATTGAACTCTGAACTATGTGAATGTTTAAAAGCTATAGACTATGGTGAGAGTTTCTCGTGCTGGGTTGGAGAGAGGCAATTTAAAGCACTAGTAGGACTGATATACAGAAGGCATTATGCTGGAGACAGAAACGATGAGACTGTTGGAAACACTAAGAAGCCAATAATACTGAAAACAAACAATTATAGTTGGTAACTTTAACTTACCAGAAATAAACTGGAAAGATTATACAGCTACTGGAGGCCCCAAAGGATAGCCCCAAAGATTCATTGACACACTAG